TATGATTATATGAACTTCACAAGTATTCATTTTATTAATTTTGATTGTTAAATATATAAAAATTAAAAAGGAATAAAATACTTTTGAAATGAATGGATATACTCTTATTATTTTAAAATTTACTCATAAATATTTTACACAAAGCATATTTTGAGTGCATAATTTAAAAATGTAAGGGCATTTAAATGCATATTTTCGAACTTTTTAGTGCATATTTTAATGAATATTTTGCCAATTTTTGGTGCATGAATGCATGCTTATTTGTGCTTTTTTTAGTGCATGAACTTACGAGACTTGAATATAACATATAAAATAGACATAAATAGTATTTAATTATTGTTTTGTAATAATTTTTACCAAATTGTAATCAATATTATAGGACATAGGTCTTTATTTAGGAACAAAACTATGTCTAAAATAAATTATAAGACAAAACTTAAAGTTATAATTTATTAATTATAGATAATAAATAAATTGCAATAGTCCATTATTTAAAAAACTCTTTCTAAAATAGGCAAAAAATGTACTTAATAAAACATATCAAATATTAAAACCTTTGAGACAAGACAATGAATGGATTAGGAAATAGTTAATCGGGATCTTCATCCTAATAAGGAACATCTTCTATACTTTCATCAGCTACTTTAAAAATATCTTCATAAAAATGCTTGGCATCTTCTGGAATATTAAAAGAACATAAAAGTTTTCTTATATCATCTTGTTTAGTGATTTTAACATGATTTTTTTGTGGTAATAGTTCAAGGTTGTCAGACATTGATCTTATATGGCATTTTCTCTTTAACAGTTACAGTTTCTGGTAAACTACCATGGGTGTATGAAATTCTGATTGTTTCTTTACCTTTTATATGAGAATACACTTTTTGTTCAGTTGATTTAAATTCTGTCTTTGTTTTGAGAAGATTTTTGGCTGAATTGTTTAAATCATAGACTTTATAGACTTTATTGTACTCTTTCAGTGTACACAATTTTTCAAATATTTCTATATACTGATTTGGTGACACTATATTTTCTTTTTTTTTTAACGCTTGCTCAATTCCCCCAAAAACACGGTCAGGAGGTATATAGCTATGCCCTCTGACTGGAAATATATGATTTATTTGGGTAAGAATTGATGCTTTACAATTTATATAATACAAAAGTGTTGCCATACTAAATTGATTTTTATTTTGGCCAGAACAAAAGTCAGAAAATTGATTAAGAGTAGTCTGTTGTATTTCATTTGCTTTTATTCCATTTACCAATAGGTCTAGAAAATCTATTAATGCTGAGCACACCTCATTAGGTCCTCTTCTACTATCCGATTCGTTCCAAGTATATAAAATACAATTTTCTTTATCTTGATTATAGTCAGATATAACAAAAGTTAGATTGTAGATCCAAACTTGACGACTATAAAACACATCAGTTACAGATAGTTTGGGAATAGGTTGCGTTTGCATCATGTCAAATGAACAATTTATGGTTTCAGGTTCCGTTTTCTTAAGTAACTCAATAAAAAAACGCTTTGCTTTTGTTTTGTTAACTAATAGCTCTTATTCAAGGTTATGTTTTACTTCATGGTCAGTTTCAGCCCTTATTTTTATTTTTTGTTCAGTGTAAAAAGTACAAGTATCCTGCCATGGATGTTCAAAACTTAAATTGAATTTTGTCGTAAAAATATTTTGATATTTGGATAAAGATGCCGTTAGTTTACAATTGTTTAATCTTTTTCTTTGCCAATGAGTCCACAAGTATTTAATAGACAGTTCAGAGAGTAAATAGCTCTTTCCAGAATCTCTTCTAGTATGGTGACTTTTCCTGCATTTGAATGACTGAATGTGTTTTTGTATTGATTCAGATATTTCATCATGCACTGGGTTAATACGATGACTCCCTCTTTTTTCCACAGGACTAGAGTGATTTGACAAAAATGTTTTGTTTAATATGTTCTAATAAATGTTGTTTAATATATTTCTTCTAGAAACTGATGTAATAGAGCAAAAAACGTCAGCACAAACTTTCAACATATTGCTATTAGTAGTAGTTGGAAAAAAATATTTGGTTACTATTCGAGTAGAGTTAGTGGTTTTCTTACCATCTAATCTTTTAGGAACTGACACACTCATCATAGTAAGTAAACATTTAGCTTGATCAATTTTACTAAAGATTTTACACAAATTTGTTTTGAAAGAAAT